AATTAATTTTAAAAATCAGAGTTAATATTATTTATTATTATTTATTCTCTCACATAATAAATATATTAAAAAAAACATTAAATAGTGGATTTTAATAATTATTAAAGTGTGTCTCAGATACACATTAAAAAAAATCAAATAAGAATTGAGTCACGCAAATGTTTTTACTTTCCATGAATTTCGACTGAAATTAAATAGGGTTTAAGAAATTTTATTAAAGAGTATGTTGGGAAGCAGGAAGAGGGAGAGATAGAGGATTCTAAAGCTAATTGAAATTTAAAGTGGGCTGTTTGGGCCAATTGGCTCTTTTGAGCCAGTCTTTTAAGGATTATGATATATATACCTTTTTTTTTTAATAAGTATATTCTCTCTTTTAAAATAAAATAATTAAAATTTTAAAATATTTTTATTTTTTATTTTTTATTTTTTAATTTTATACTCCTAACATTTAATTTAGTACTTTTTTTACATATATCTTTCCCTTATTTTCATATGCACTTCCTTAATTTTTCTTTGCCCTCACTTATTTTGATAAGTAATTTTAATTATTTTAATTTTGTATTATTCTTTTTTCTTTTCTCTTTTAGTTTTCTCATTGATTTTACTACTTTTATAGTACTCTAAAATAGTGAAAATGTTTTTTTTATAACACTAAACTTAATGTTAAGGTTTTTGGAGGGGTGAAAGGAAAGAAAGTGTTGGAAGAAAAAATGCGTGTCTAATTTGATATAAACTGTCAAGGAAGCTATAAGTACCTACAATATTGTCGCCTTCCAGTTCTATGATTTGGGTGCATGTGAAAAAGTGAAAAAGGTAAGAAAATAAGAGAGTAATATAAAAATCGAGAATTAAAACTACTCACTGAAATATGTGATGAATTAGAAAAAGACAAGATGGTGCATGTAAAAAAAAAAAAGATGTGTGAAAAGAAAAAATAATAAATTAAAAGTTAAAGATGTAAAATTAAAAATTTTAAAAATAAAAATAATTATGAATATTTTAGAATTTTTTTTATAAAGAGGTGTACTTATATAAAAAAAGAAAAAGGAGTGTATATATCATTATCCATCTTTTAAATGTTTAGTCTGCGCTTAAGTTCAGCGGCCAGTTTAACCCGAATTTCGTGTTGGACAATTTTTTTTCGACTGTGGACTTATGTTTTATTCGCTACTCGCCGTTGAGCTTTTGCTATTTACACCCCCACTTACACCCCCTATGTACTTAATACACACCTATTATATTACTTTTTTTAATACAATACTTAAAATATATTTTTTATTCGAATAACCCCTCTCTTTCATGTGTAAAAACTGTTTCGTTTCACCCAAAAGTACATTTCTAAAAAGTAGCTTTCAAAACAATATTTTAACAAGATAAATAGTTCTAGAAAATAATTTTTAGGATTATGATTTAATAAATTATACGTAGTTTCAAAAATTGCTTTATGAAATAATATATATATTATATATATATATATATATATATATATATGCATCACTGTATTTTTTTTAATTATATATTAATGACATATATAATTAAGAGTGATAATTTATGCTATTTTTATCTTATGTAGAATGAAAGTTAGAGTTGATCAAAGGAATATTGAATGTATATAATATGGATTCTAAAAAATGAATGAAAATTTTATAATTCTAAAATTTTAAAGAGAAGTTAGATAAAGGTGCTCTAAATTCAACAGAGTTTGATCCTTCGTCCAATTTTGCCAAAACATCTATTTCCTTCTCCTGATCAACATAGTTAGTTTAGTAGAAGCCACAATTCAAGCTGAGAAGCTAAGAATCTAAGAGGGAAGTCATCATATAAAAGGTTATAGGATTTCTCTTTTTCGTCCTACCTTTCCTTGATTCAAGAACAATTTAGGTAAAAGAAGCTTGTAGTTTAACATTCTTATAATGAATATGATGAATTTTTGTGTTGAATTCATGCTTAATTGATGTTATTATGTTGAATTTTGAAGGGTTGAATCCTAAGTGTTTTGTTCTCGTGGTTTTCTCGATGAAAGAAGAAGAATGAATGATCTTAGATCATGTTGTTGTTGCATTTTGTTTATATAATTATTTCGGTGAATCTAAGTTGTAGAAGTCGTGAAAATGTTAAAAATTGATGATTGCATGTTGAGTTTATATGATTTTGATGGTTTAGATTGTTGTTTTTGAGTGAAAGAGATAAGGATTTGGGGCTTTGAAAATCCTTAGATAAAAAGTTTTATGGGTTTGTTAGCTTGGCTAAAAAGTTTGACTTAGCTAATGTTGGCATTTGTTATGTTTTTGTTACATTGACTTAGTTAGACAAGTTTGACTTATCTAATTTTGGCCTCTTGTGTATTTCTCTTAAATTGGTTTAGCAAGACGAGTTTGACTTAACCAATTTTCACCTCAACTGTGTTATTGTAGAATTTAAAGATAAACTATGTCAAGTTGTTTAAGTTGAATATTTCGATGTACTTGGTGTTGTAAGTTGAATAATTGGGAAGTGGTGTTGTATCGTGTTGTTTATAATGAAAGATTATGTTGTAAAATATTTATATGAAGCAAGTTGAGATGATTTGTGTTGAATTGAATAATATTACCAAGTGTTGTGAATGTTGTGTTGTGTTGAGAATACATGATGCATGTTGTTGAGATGAGTTGTGTTGTATAACTATGTTGTTGAACTATGTTATATAGTTATGTTGTTCAGTTGTGTTGTATAACTATGTTATTCAGTTGTGTTGTGAACTTAAAACTAGAGGGGAGAGTGTTGTTTTTAAAAGGTGAGATATCTCATTGTGTGGATGTGTTATGGTGTTCTAGGAGTCCAATTTTATTTATAAAAAAATCTTAGGTATATTGTCTCTTGAAGTGGAGTGTTGAGTCTCCTCTAAATTCTTAGTTGATATTATATGGTAAACAAGTTGAGCCATACTAGCTTATAAGTAACCAAATTGAGTAAGATATAAATTTGAGGGGTGAAATCCTTAACTAATTACTAGAAGAGTGCATGGTATCGATAGGATAATTAGCAGTTTATACCCATATGTGACTTAGTTAATGCATGTCAATATCGTGATGGACCCACATCCAAACTACGTTATACCTGAAACCTAGTACTAAACATTTCTAGTGAAAGTGACGAAATTTGAGAAATCATGTTATATTGAAAATGGATTGGTATCCAACTTAGTTGTTGACCTAACAAGCCAAAAGGGTGAGACTGTATTATTTCGATAAGATCAAACCACTTAAACTATTCACATATGTTGTAAGAGATCCTTAAGTTGAAATGTGTGATAACCACTACTATTATTCTTGTTGCAATGACGATGATGATAGTTGTGGTTATGGCAGTTGCACCACTATTGTTGTTGCAACTAGTAGTGGTGGTGGTAGCGATGACAACGACAACGACAAAGGGAAGTATGGTGGTAACGACAACAATGATTTTGATGACGATGATGGTAATGATGATTGCAATAATAGTGATGACAAAGGCAATGGTGATGATAGTGGCAAAGATTACAACAGTGGTAGCAACAACAACAATAATAATTATGATGATGGTAGTGGTGGTAATGGTGTAGTAGAGACAATAATGGTTATTGTGACAATGAAAGTTGTAATGACAATTATTTAATAATATGATAGTACATGATAATTTTGTTTTTTTTCCTTTTAATGTGACCTTTCTATTTTAATCCAATGATTATTATCAATAGTTTTCATTTCTTATATTAAGAGGTTTCTACTTAAACATCCCACACACACACACACATATATATATATATATATATATAT